AACATCCTGTGAAACTTAAATCGCAAGGCCTTTTGAATTCACTAGATAAGTAATACACGAGTTTAAGAAAAATAGGGCTTTCTTTTTACCTGTGAAACACTAATGTACTAAGGTAATTAAACCTTATTAAAGTGCTTCTTGTATGCCATGTAATTTTGACAAAAATTATTTAAATTTAATTGAAATAAATTTTTACTGTAACTTTGGAACACATTTCCTTTTTTAAAAGTTTATCACAGGACTACTATGGAAGTTCTATTATCATGATTATATTAAATTCTTGGTTTAACAAATTAAAGGTGTCATTTTTTAAATTTATTAAGTTGCTTTATATGCTATTTTATATATATTTTGATAAAAAAAAATGTTCACTGCATTATTAACTAAGCTCAACTGACACCATAAATCTATACTAGGCTTAAGTTAATGGTGAAAATTGTCCAGTAACCATAAATTATATCTGAAACATTCAAAAAATTTTGAATAACATTGAAAATATTAGTCACAATTCAGTTTTGAGATTATTTGATCAGCTTGTTTAATTTTATTTTAAAGGTGATATATATGTATGTATATAAGTGTTGATGAATATGGTGATGAAGTTATATTATGTTTATTGTGAAATTTTGGTTTTAATGCTATACTGAATACATTTTTAGTTTCAAATTGTTGTTCAAATTTCTAGCCAGGGGAAATAGCTGTTGTTAAAACAGTTCCTAAATTGATGAAATACAATAGATAGATACAAAAAATAGGTCTAGGTTGGTTATAACTTGGTCGAGTATGGTCCAGACTAGGTCGAGTATGGTTCAGACTAGGTCGAGTCGAGTATGGTTCAGACTAGGTCGAGTATGGTTCAGACTAGGTCGAGCATGGTTCAGACGCGTATAAAATGGTTAAGTACTGGTCGAGTACAAGTTCAGACTGTTAAGTATGGTTCAGACTACAGTCGAGTATTATCAAGTAAATTTCAGACCAATTCAGACTGGTCGAGTAAAAATCAGTACAGTCGAGTACAGATATAAGCCATTTCAGACTTTTACTGGTTTGTAGTGATATGTTTTCTCATTAGAAATGATTTTTTTAATATTTGGACCTTTTTTAAGGGCCTCATTTTTATCACACTGTTCATTTCAAACTGAATTTACATGCAAAAGCACATATAAATTTCATTTTAGTTATGTAATTTTCAGTTTCCTATATTTTTGTTATGATATACGTTACAATAGATATGAATTATTGATTCTATATAAACTGATATAAATTGCATTGATAACTAATAGAGATATCTATTATAATATGAAATAAAAAATTAAAGACATATTTATTTCTTATCTATTTTGTTTTAAAACAGTTTATGTTTCAATAGAAATAAAAGAAAAGTTTTCTCAGTTATAGTTGTAACCTTATCAATGTATTTCTTTCATACTTCTACAAAAAGGCAAGCATAATAACACACTTCTTGATGAATATGTTATATGTTTGTGGCTTAACAAAGATGATAAGTGTATATTTTATAATCCTCCTTAAAGAGTTTTGTGTCATAAACATATAATAAAACACATGGAATAAATATTCCCTTTGGGGTATTTAATATTTCGGTGAAATTAAGTTCTCCGATTATGATAATAGCTAGGAGACTTCAAAACACTTTTAATTGTTCACTAAGTATTTTAAAGGAAGAAAGTCGTCATACTCCTGTTCTTCGAACAATCTTTTTTATATGTCAGTTCTTTAAGTCGCCCTAATGTAACTGTATAAGTTTTGAACGTTTTAGTTCATTGTGAAAATAATTACTGTCGCCCTTATTGTACTGTAAGTTGTGAGCATTTAAGTTTCTATGTTGGATGTATTTTGACCACTTAGAGTCGCCCTTATCTATCTGTTTGTTTTGAGCCTTTAGTGTATCGGTGAACTTATCATGACGATACTTTGGGTCGCCATTATCTTATTGTATTGTGACGAAATGTCTGTTCCCTGAAATGGAACTTGTTTTCCCTAAAATTGTGTTGACGTTGTTTTAATCGTACCGATAAATGACTTTTGTTATAATATATTTCTTATATAAGTATGTTAAAACATTGTTAACTCTAAAACTTTATTATCCGGGCCTTGCCTTTGTTTTTACATTAGGAACACCTCTTAACTGTTTATTTAAATTGAGGTACAATAACGTTTTACCAGTTCCAGTTTTGGTAATTTAGATATTTCCTAATTGGTAAATGGTAAACCAAATCGGTAAATTGGTTTACCTAAGTATAAATACGGCGGAGAATTCAAGTAAGTCTTCAGCACGATTTTAACCTGTGCAAGTAACCCTCGCTAATTCCAAGCAATTTTAATATAAGTATAGATACCGGTTACCAGACCAAGTAGTGACAAGGCAGACAACATATTACAATATCCGAGGAGACTATGTCCGTAAAATGAGGGTTTGTTAATTCCTTTACAAGTTACACTTAGAAAATAACTTCGTAAGTAAAACTTTATAACGAATCTTTTGGTATCGAGTTTTACCATTTGCTGATTACTAAATAACAATTAGTAAACTTTCGGGGTATATTTTTCCGCTATCCATTTTCTTTAATTCACGAAAGAATGTCGATAAAATGTCTATTTATTGGATTTGAACACTATAAATCTATCTAAAATATATATGTGTTGTGGTTATTTAATGCATATTAAAGTTAATATAAGTTGATTTTATTTCACGAGTCTGTTATTCATTCAAACATCTATACGGAGAGTTACCATGCAAAATCACAAAATTTCACAGGCCAAAACCCTATACCTTAATCTACCCTTTATATCTGAATTATTACCTTACCAGAGGAACCAACCACACTAGGGTGTATACGGAATTCCACAGTACCACGCTACCAAAGAAAGAGTAACTGGATGTAAACTTTTAATCCCTATGTATGACTGATATTGTAAAACCATATTCTTATAGCATTACACTAAGGCTCGATCGCTCGGTTTTCTTTACAGTACGTTGTAACCATCTGAGTTCATCGTTTGACAATTATGCCAATACTTAGAGCGGCTCTTATCGTATTGTTGCTTGTACATTTTAGATCATCGTTGTATTTATCATGCCAATATTTTTTGCCGTCCTTGTCTTTTCAATATTTAGCTTTGATCGTTCCCGGTGAAGGTAAATCCAGAAAAGCGCTTTGAACGCATATAGTTTATAAGGTGATATTTTATTTTGTAACTGACTGTAAGGTGTGAGTAGTTAAGATCATCATTGGATTTATCATACCAATATTTTGGGCGCTCTTATCTCACAGTTATGTTGTGAGCGTTTTAGTTCGTCGTTGAACTTCTCATGGAAATACTCTGGGCCGCCCTTATCTGACAACACTTTGGGCCGCGCGTTTCTTAGTTATGTTGTGAGCGTTTTAGTTCCTCCTAGAACTTATCATGCCAGTACTCTGAGCCGCCCTTATCTTGTTTTGTAATATTGTATATAATGTATATAACCTCCCACGCATTGATGCTTCAAATGGTAAGAGAAACTGGGCTTGAAATGTGCACGATTTACTATCTAGTTTAGGTCTAAACTACGTATGGATTGATCAAGAAAACATTAATGCATCTTTTGAATAAAAAACATGTCGTACAAACGATCAATACTACCAGAACTGGTTTGTTATTTTGAACGATTGTGAAAGACTGTGTTTATATAGAACATTAAAAAATGAGTTTTGTTTAGATGATTACTTTAAATATCATTTTAATAGTAATTTACTCACTAAACTGCGTAGTGGAACATTAAAACTGAATATGCATATTAGTATGTCATGCCTTTAGATCATTGAGGCTACAGTTTTTACCTTAATATTATTGTTCATGGCCAAATAATAGGAACCTTGTAATTGTTTTGCAAGCTAGGTCAAAGAATTTAACCGAATAATTGTGTAAATGTCTTAATACGCATGGTAGTTAAGATTACAGATTATATTAACAAAATATTTGTAGTTCTGTGCTTGCTACATGTATGACTTTATTGTGTTGTTCTCTTTTTATTGTTGAACTTATCATGACAATACATTTTGTACTTTGGGCAGCTCGTATCTTATTTTTGTATGATATAAAATTGAGAATGGAAATGGGGAATATGTCAAAGAGACAAGAACCCGACCAAAGAGCAGACAACATATGAATTTTTAAATATTTTCAGAAATATATCAGTGACTTTCCTCGTTTTTTAAATGTTTTTACATTGTTTGGTTTTTTTAATTTCTTTTTATTCTTTCCCCCCACCATTATTTCATTTATTCTACTAAGTATGCTTAATGACTCTTCAAAACCTTATTGTTAATATATATTTCTAATGACTTATAAATTGTGTTGATATATACATGTCTCAAGGTACTTGAATAACTGATAATCAATTACCTGCACACTTAAATGTAATATACATTTTGTAATTAGCAGTGTAAATATATATTTGTTTGTGTGTGCTCAACAGTAGCATGCATTAATGCATTGAAGTTCTACTATCATTAAGAATGTAAAGCAAATTGAAGGAAAAATGAAATAGGACCAGATGAGTTGGGATTTTTAGCATTTTAGATTGCAAAGTAACAACCTGCATGACAACATGTCGCACTACAAAGACACATTATTCTGACTACAATCAAACGACTCCCTGTTCTTATTCGTCTACGTGCCTTGATAAGTAGAACTTAAAACAAAGAATAAAATATTACCAATAGTTCTATAAACAGTCTTTTTTACATGGTCGCAAAATTTGGAAACTTAATTTCATTTAATAATTTGATATATTTTGGGTAATTTGTTTTCATATTACAATTCCTTTCATACCCGAGTTATTTATTAGGAATTAAAGATAAGAAAAAATATTTTAGTAAACGCTAAATATCGTAAAACTAAATATCGAATGTTTAAAAAACTTGATATACCATATGTGTCCTTAACATGCATCGGATTATTACAACAGAATGAACTGATTACAAAATAATGCAACTTACCATTAAAAAATAAACCAGTTTACAAATTACAAGACCCATAAACCAGGTTTCAGTTACGTCAACAAGTAACGTTGGAGGTAAGCATATGAGTATAATACCCAAATCGGCGACGGAAAGGTTTACTATGAACATATTAGTTACAGTCCGCATTTGGTGATTTCTCCACACCGCAAAACATACCAAAACATTTCCAGTCATCCCGATGATAAATGTTAATATGTAAACCGTTATAACAATCCATTCATACCATTCAGGAATTATATAAGTTGCCAAATATGTACGGACGTCATCTTCATTTTTACAGTCACCATCATCCAATATATCAAAACAGGTTGTATTGTTTCTAGTATTATTCTCATTTGTTCCATTTAAATCCAACATAGTTTTTGTCGAATAAAGTTTTAGATTCAAGGAATTAAAATAAAATGTTCTTTGGTTTAAATTTAGTTCTGCTGAATCCTGTACAAGTTTTACAAAGTATCATTTGTATTTCCTACCGTCTAGATTCATACTTTATATTCTAAAGTCATGTGTCTTCTGTTGGATGTGCTCTACAGACACTGACATTTAAAAACACTGATAATTGAAAATTAGAAACTGTTAATTCCATGCGATGACGGCTTATTACTTTTCCGGTTCTCTACAAAGACGCAAAATCGTTTACACTAAAGAGTAAATCTAGTCAATGATGATTTCTTCTGTTGTGCAATTAACATGCTCACTGTTCGATGCGGAAGTTAAATAGCAGTTTGCATTATCACTACAAAGAGATGACGAATTTTAATTGTTATTGATAATTACACGGAATTCCATTAGCTTTATAGGCAATAAAGTCTCTCGTTGACACAACGGTCCATGACTGCAACATTCGCTCGTAACATTCCTTTAATTCCAAAGTTCATTTATATTAATTGTCTTTAGTCAGATTTTCCAGCTGTGAGTGTATCTACTAGATTGACGAAACTGTATGTAAACGACCAATATTTAAATATTTATGGAACATTTTAATTATTGTCAAGAAACCTATTATTAAGTATCAAACTATTACTATTACGAATGGTAGGGTTAAAACAGTTTTCAATCTACTATAATGAATTATATAAAACATATTACGTTGTCATATGATATCTTGGAATCATAAATACGGGGATAATTGGGTCATCAATCTTCATACCAAATTTTAAAAAGTCAATCTCAAAGTAGTCGGTCAAAAGCGAAAAGATCAGTGTATATATTTTTATTATACATTCTTTTATTGGACTTCTACTTATACATATGATTTGTGTTTATGTCTATAAGCGTGATATGGGCTACTTAAAGCGCATATGAAGAAGTTTAATCCAGAAACAAACGATGTAAAAATTGTAATTATTTAACTTTTAAATATGTTTTTCTGTTGAAATACGATATCATAGAAAACAAATTAATTGGTTGTTGTTGTTTGCTAAATGTGTAGTTGCAAATATTTCATGCATACTCAGGACGAGAAAAAATTAACAATTACGATTTATGATTTGTATTTTGTATATATAAAAAAATACACAAAGTATTATAAAAAAAGCAATTACGATTTATGATTTGTATTTAGTTTATATCAAATAATACACAAATTGTTATAAAAAAAGCAATTACGGTTTATGATCTGTATTTAGTTCATATCAAATAATACACAAATTATCATGAAAAAGCAACATCATTCAGACACTTTTTGTCCTTTATTACTTTCTCGTCCATCATGTTAATTTTGGCATTGCAAACACTTGATCTTTTGACTAAGTTTCTAGTCAACTTCACAATTCGTTTTTATCAGCTTTAGTAAAATAAAAATTGTGATGATTTTTTTCCAAACGCATAGACTACATTATTTATTTTGTTAATAGAAATGATGAATTATTGTTAAGGTGTTTTCAAATTTGCATCGCGATACAGCTTTGAGCGATATTTCAAATAATATGTATTCCATTTCTTGATTGTTTTTACACAAAATTTTACAACAGCGTCAAAAATACCATTAACCAAAATTACTCGTATGTGTCGTCAAGACTGAACATTTGAAAATGTTGCGAAAAAAGAGGTAATGGTTTGGTCCAGTTATTTAAATTTGATTTTAAATCAACTACTTTTCTTGTAAAGTTAAAAACAAAAATGTAAATCGTGTTGAAATGAAGGTATCTGCGGTGTTTACTTTGTATAAGAATGCAATTAGAAGGGCTGATTGTGGAAGATTTGATAGTGCGAAAGATGAACGAAAGGAAATATGCCTGTCAACATGAACTGCGTTGTGTTATTTCTTAATATGAAACCAACAACTGCAAAAGCTGTAAAAATTTCTATCACAACGAGTTTAAATGAACTAATATTTTTTAATTAGATAAGAAGTTTCGTAGAATTATAGCATAAAACAGTCATATCATATTTCTAATTTACAATTACCTTTGGTAGCTTTTGTCTTTGTTGGTAAAATGGTTTCTCAATCAATATTTTTAGACATTATGTAGGTCTCCGTATGTATTTATATATTTACTCTATTAACAACTGACATATCTAAACCCTTTGTACATACACGTCATGTACGTTTTGCAATATATTACACAATATAGTACAAATTAAATAGAAACTAATTTTGCCGACTAGCCCGACAAGTATGCTGGGCGCTGGAATTGGAATTTATTATTAAATATTCAGGATATTTCATATATTATTTGAGAAACTTCCATACATTTACTTCCCTCAACGTTTACAAACAACTAAGAAAGTTCTTCACTCTACCAAAGGTCGAAACACGCTAAGGAAAACCCATAGAGAAAACCGTGTAGTATACAATGACCTTAAATACTCTAGAAATCTGCGAAAACTAACATTCGGCAGATCGTCTCATGGGGACAACACGAGAACTTGCATTGCGTTTGAATATGCTAAACTTTCAAAGCTAAGTGTAATAAAGACTTATAATCTATTTTGTATATAATATTAATACTTTAAGAAGAAAACAATATCATACTCCTATAGATTTATAAAAAAAAATATCAACAATGTAGTTTTGATATGTACGCTTCAAAAACCGGCTTGAAAGGGAATTACATGTACCTGAATACCTTTTAGTTGTACTAAATTTTGACAACAAAACAATTCTGATTGGACAATACCTGCTTATAACAATCCATTTATACAGCTATTTTCCCGCTCTTACTAGCCGAAACGTGGGGAAATTCATGTATTTAATCTATTAACAACTGACAGACTACCATATTCGCTCGTAACATTCCTTTAATTCCAAAGTTCATTTATATCAATTGTCTTTTGTCAGATTTTCCAGCTGTGCGTTTATCTACTAGATTGACGAAACTGTATGTACAAGACAAATATTTAAATATGTATAGAACCTATTATTTTTTGTCAAGAAACCTATTATTAAGTATCAAACTATTGCTATTACGAATGGTAGGGTTAAAACAGTTTTCAATCTACTGCAATGAATTATATAAAACATATTACGTTGTCATATGATATCTTTGAATCATAAATACGGGGATAATTGGTCATTAATCTACATACAAAATTTATATAAAGAGTCAATCTCATAGAAGTCTGTCAAAACGAAAACATCAGTGTATTTTTTCATTACAGCTACTTTTATTGGACAAACAAAAAGATGTTTTGAAAATAGTTGGGTCTCCCGTCCAAAATTAACTCTCTTGTGATGACGTCAATTGCGTAGAATCAGGTTGAAATAATAGGGTTTTAAATTGTCAAATTATAATCATCTGTGTGAGCAGAATCAGGAAATCGGACAGTATTTTATTGAATGCGTACCATTTTACAAAGCCTATAGCGTTACCAAGAGGCCAATAATTTTTATCTGAATTCAAATGGTAAATTGTTTGATAACGTAACGTAGACATTACTATGAACTAGTTAAACTATACACACGTTTCATAGGCTACTATTTTAAAACGGATTCGGATTGTGTTCAAACTTGTCTAACCTGTTACTGTCCGTCCCATTGTCAAATAAATGGTAACAGATAAGAGGCAACAATAGTTAACCGGTGTTCAAATCTTATAAATTCATTAAGATACAAATCAAGGTAAACTTCAAAAGGAGTGAGTAAGGGTAAGCTACCCCTGCTTTTCATACAGCATGCACAATGCGAATCAACACTCAGTTAAAATGTCGCAATCGGGAATAGGACATAATCGGTAAATCTACAGATCAGAAGACTATTCTGGTACCTTTAGATCGAAGACCACAAAAACGTGTCGTTAGTGAGGTGTGACACAGACAAATCGTATTGGATAACCAATTCGTGATGGTGACCGTAAAACTTCTGTTGGCGCAGTTTTTTGTCAAGAACACACCCCTGTTAATTAACTCCATATAATATGAACATACACGAGCGTAACCTATCAATTTAGATATGTAAACGCCATATAATTAGACAGAGGGTTTATTACAGCTGAGAAATATGAGGTTAACATATCATCAATATATCTGAAAATGAAATTAAAGAACTTCACAAGGTTTTAAAAGATGGACTTAAAATAAAAGAATGCCCAAAATGTTGCTAAAATAATCTACACAAACGGTCCAAATTAACAGTGTAAGATATATATAAACGTACCGTCAATTAATTGACAAAATGAAAGTTCGTATTACCTTGATTTGAATTAGGATGTACAATACTGGACACATGATATTAATTTTGGCATTGCAAACATTTGATCTTTTGACTAAGTTTCCAGTCAATATGATTGTAAAAGAGGGACGAAAGATACCAGAGGGACAGTCAAACTCATAGATCGAAAACAAACTGACAACGCCATGGCCAAAAATAAAAAGACAAACAGACAAATAATAGTACAGATGACACAACATAGAAAACTCAAGACTAAGCAACACGAACCCCACCAAAAACTGGGGGTGATCTCAGGTGCTCCGGAAGGGTAAGCAGATCCAGCTCCACATGTGGCACCCGTCGTGTTGATTATGTTATTACAAATCCGGTAAATAGTCTAATTCGGTAAGTCACATTCGTGAAAAAGGAAGGGTATTGTAGTTACGACATAAGGAACATATCCGATATCATCTGTGAAACGGTTATTCCATAACGGTCAACCAACTCGTGATGGCGTCCGTAAAATTTAGGAAGGGATGATTTCAACTTCACCATTTGGAACTCTTGGCTTAATAGCTTCCTTGTGAGCAGCAATCCTCTATCAAGGAAATCATGATAGGAAACACAAGCCCGGGAATATCATACCAATTGGGAGATATATACTCCGTATGCAGGCGCTGTTGGAATGTTGCTACATAGAAATGGAAAGTTCACAATTGGGAAGCTGAAATCATCTCTTTTGTCGTAAAGTTTTGTTTTCGACCGACCCTCATTGTCAATTTCTAGATGTAAGTCAAGATATGAGGCAGACTTAACTGTATCTGTAGTATCCTTTATCTCTAGTTCTCTTTCTTCCTAAGAAGTTCCTGTATGAAGTCAGCCTCATAAAAATAAAGAAACAAGTCGGCAAGAAGAGGGGCACACTTGGTTCCCATGGAATTCCGACAGTCTGTTGAAAAACACGTCCTCCAAACGTAACAAATATGTTGTAAATCAAGAAATCAAGCATCTTGATAATGTCAGTTTCAGAGAATTTTTTGTTTGAATCAGAGTGATTCTTTACAAAGTAGGATTTATCCCTCCCCAAGACAAGATACTTGTATCTAC